AAATTCAACCCCAAGATTACGTCGCCTGGACAACCGACCTGTGAGTAAGAAATTAACAATCTCTATGCCCTGTGTCTTACAACCGGTTCATTTCCTGGTACCAGGTGACCACCCGTCTCCTTTGGTATCCATTACTTTTCTTATAATTCTTGCTGTTCCCAGTAAACAAGCTTTCTTTGATGGCTGCTTTCTTCCGTCAAGTCCTGCTTTCTTTCGATACAGATGGAATCTTTTGCTGACTGTTCCGAGGGCAACAATAACGATCGGTACAGGCACAACTTTTTAACAGTTCCACAGACGCTTCACCTCTTTACCTTGGTAGCGAATGGGTAGGCTATATCTATTATCAGAGGTGATCTTAACAGCTTGTCGAGGACAACAAGTCTGGATCTTAAGATCCCACGAAATCTTAGTCATACCATTTTGCCCTCCGCCCGTTCTTCTTTCGAATCCAAAAACTCTCACAGACTGAACTTCCCGTGAATGAGAAGTGGCGCTTTTGGCCAGCATACTCTGTAACTACCTTATTATACAGTATGCTTCGAGTAGACTAATGGAGCTGGATTAAGTGGTCTTAAACATTTATTGCTACTCATGATTAGAGTTTCATGCTTCTTGCAACGCAATCATCAGGCAGCTGCCAAAAGCAACGGTTAAAATCAAAGATATAGAGAAAACAGAACAATGAATACTAGGCGTGGCGCGCCATTTCGTTTATTAAGTGATGCTCACAAAGGTCTAGTTGTGGCCGAGCTATTTACACACTCTTTTTTGTAGCAGGAAATTTGGTTAATTTTTTTGTTTTTCTATCTGTGCAATGTCTTCCAAATTCAGATTTAAACCTTAAATATATAAGCAAAGTTACTGGTATCTTCAGTCAGTCAGTTTAGTAAAAATGAAATTTTTATCTTTAAGGTTTCGAGTCTGACTCTGCTTCGACTGCCAGTGAGTTTAAGTTCAAGAGAAGCAGGTGATTTTATTTCTAGGCTACGTTATGTCCTAGAGTTTTCCCGCAAACGAAAATTCATTAAAGCGAGTATACAGACGAGTGAAGAAAAGGAAGATTTTACCACGGATGAAGTCTGAACAACACTCCACGCAGTGGAAAAACCTTTTCAGTATATCTGTTAATAAAAAGGAGAAATTTTACAAGATGTTCTCGTTCGGCTTTGCTGCTGCGTATGTTTTTAAATTAATTCGATTTTCCAACAAGTCCCGAAAACACCATTGTTACACTAAAATTAAGCTAGTTTATATGTAAATTTCTATATTTTTGCTAAGTACTGAATAAAAACTTTCTATAGTTTCATTTGAGGGCAAGTTTACTTACTTGCAGCGAGTCACACTCTTCCTTCAACGGTCGCCCACTTCCACTTTCGATAGCTTTCAAAAGCCCCTTCGAATGTTCTGAACATTCTTCAATCACTTTCGTTTGACAAAAATCTATAGAATCTGCTTCTAAATCGTCAAACTGACACTTTGCTTTGTTGAATATCAAAAGCATGAAAACAACTTTTAATAACTGCATGCTGGTCCCTGAACAGTTCTGCCTTTACTTAACTTCCCGAGACAGTGGTTACCCATGCATCCTTTAAACCGGCAGGCTTCTACTTTATCTAAAAAAGAGTTGCTTGGTTATTAAAAACTTTTCATCGATTCCGAGGGATCGTATTGGACAAAATTAATATCTGTGTAAGATTAGGACCAATGAAACGTCTTATTGCTGCTGACGTCATTGCACTTTAGCTTAGTCATAATAAGTGATTCGTATTTTTTTCCTCTTTTCAAGTAATTCACCTCAGGGAAGGCGGAGGAAGTGGGGCTGGGTTGGCTTAAGCCCCGTTACCTGTTGATATGATCAAAAAAAATTTGCCTGATGTATTTGTAAGTTCATCACCCGTTCCTGTAATTTAAAAACAACCATGCTGACCTTTGAATGCAAAACTTTATACTTTACATGAGACTTTTGAGGGTTTCTTTCGACGGCAAAACCTACAGACGTCAGTTTCTTTAAAGTCCTGTTGCTGAGAGAATAGTTAGACTTTAAAATTTTTGCTATAGAATAGTAATAATTCCTTTGATTATCAACATTTAATGGTTTTGGATCACATTTTATCCGTTATTATGTTTTGTTCATTTGTGTCACCGGGGCATGGCGTTTATTTTTTTATGAATACTGCCTGCTTGCTGTCTTTCATTAACGCTGCTTTTTGCAATAAATAGTTGAAAAGGTTAAGCGTAACTATGATTTCAAAGAACCAAAAATTAAAGAACGAAAACATGAATTAGAACCAAAAGGACAAAATATTTAGAAAATTTTAATATGATACATGTCTGAAACTGAAACAGGAGAGACACAACCTATCGATGAAGGCAGAGGCTATTCTTCGGGTATGGCCTACAATTCATTCAATTCTGGATGCATTTTTTGATTGACACAATTTTACTATTTGACCTTTTCCAATTGATAGGAACACCGGTCCTCTATTCCCAGTTTCACAGGCTAAATCGTGGATACACAATAAGTCGAAAAAATTATTGCATAGCACAATAAATTTGGGTACAATGTACACTTCTAGTTATTTCATTGCCGGTATTGCGGCACTTTCCAAACTCTCCTCTTTGGACCGTTTTCCCGCCAATTAGCATAATACAAACAAAAAAGTATTATATTTTCAATTATGTCTGCGAAAATTCTTCTAATTGGGTGTAATGAAGATAAGTTCTGTCTTGGCGTATGCGCATACAGTAAGCCAATTTTCCCTCTTTTTTTAGCAATTTTATCTCTCTGGATTTGTTAAAACGTGGCTAAAGAAATTTCAAGTGCATTTTAGCTATTTGACATCTAAGTGGAATCGGGGAAGCAGTTAAAAGTCACTGGCAATAGACAGTAAAGTTCTCTCGCAAAAGTGACAGGATTTTACGATGAAATAAACAACGTTTGAAACGTCGAGAAATTGTAATATTTCAGTCAGTCAAACCGTGAGGTCCACAGCTCAGTGTCGGCCGAAAACAGACTAAGAATCCACAATCTCTGAGCACAGGCTTTCTAAGACAAAATCACCTGAACTAAACACTCACGAAGCGTTTTTATGCTTGACACAAAGTATATTCTAGTAACACGAGCTCAAACGCACATACCTGAGATTTGTCTGTCAACACTATCGGTAACTGATCAAACAATAAATGACTTTCGCGGCAATCACAACAGTTCCCAAAACCACACATTATATTTCCACACTTAACCCGGCCGAAACATCGTCAAATTACTCCGTAAAACTCTCGCTTTCTCCACATAAATCGTCACATGGAACTTTTCTCGACTCACTGACAGTCGATTTATTCAAGATCCCGGATGTAAACCAGCGTTTGAAAAGGAGACATACAGCCCCCGCCTTCCACACAGGTCTTTGGCCTGGTCAGAAATCAGCATGAATTTCCATCTTGCCTAATAGATTTCAACCCTAGAACCTACTTTGTGAGGCCAAAGACTTGTTACTGCCAACAACAAAGTTCGCAATATCCAATCTTTCCGTCTCAAGCCCGGGATCAGTCTTTCACCCGTGTAGCCCGAGATGAGACGAAATACTAGAATATTGGACGCAGCAGACTTTGCCAGACGTGAGAATTGGAGGGTTGTCCAATACTCACAAATTGAATCCATTAGTGTTAGTGGTGATAGTAAGGGTCTCCATTGGTACCAATGGTACGATTGCTACCAATAGAAAAGCACCCTATTCCAATGGTTCTTTTGTTCCTATAAGGCTTGATAGACCTATTCGGCTAACTCAATGTTGTACCCAATTCAAACCCTTTGGGACTAAAACTTTTTGTTTCAGGAATTTCCATGCATTTAAATGAGAATGCTACATTATAATGCAAATACGATACACAAAGAATCTTAACCCTGGGAGATTTGAATTGGGTACAACATTGAGTTAGCCGAATAGGTCTATGATGCGGAAAACTTTACTAAATGCACCTAAATAAAAAACTAAGACAACCCACTATGAGAGCCGAGTTCAGTCTAATTCGCGCGCTGATTTCAAACTGACATACAGAGAGAATTACGGGAAGTTATGAAAAACATTTTTTTGAGGGGGGGGGGGTGGGTAATAGGTTAATAGCCAGCGAGAAACTCATCAAAGTCTATCTACTGTGGCCTATCCGGTACCGATTAAATAAATAAAAAACTATGAAAAGAAAAAAAAACATGGTCCACTACAAGGCTCAGTCATAGGGTATACAAGAGAGATTTCTGTAGCCATGTTTTTGCAAATCCAGACAGATATATGTGTGTGATTTTGCTAAAAGGGACCCGCTAAGTTTTTGCTTCCTTGAACACTTGCATCGTCAGTGTAGCCGGAAAAAAAAACCCAGGGGGTTTGGCGTCTTGCTGCTTGGCTGGAGTCTTTTTGTCAAAAATAGGGGGGCAGGGAGAGGAGATTTTGTCACTTTGATTAAAGGAGCTGTGTCACGAAATTCAGCCAAATTAGGAAATTACAAAATGCCCGTTAAATTAAGCGAAACATGAAAAATAACCTCTCAAAGCTTTAAAGGAAGGTTAAAATAACATAACAGAAACAACAGATGCCACGGATGGGCAAAACTGAAAAAGATTGAAACGGATTGAAATTAGGGTTTTTGAAAACTGTTCAGCCTAACAGTTTTTCAAAGTTGATCCCTGCTGCTTGCAACTTCAAAAAAAAAAATGTGCAGGAGACATATTTGTTTGTCTCAGATATCTGATTTTGCATTTACATGTAATTTCTTTGCTTACTTTAAGTTCCATAGCGATTGAGGGTGAGTAATTGGCAAAATTAAACCAAATGTACTGGACTGCCGTGACACAGCCCCTTTAAAGTTTCAAGTCAGAACCATGTAAGAACTCAGTGCAGGCGGTCGGTACTTTATGTAAGCCTTACGTAAAATGTCCTGAGACATATAAGTCCCCACATGTCTAAGTTGTGACAGATACGATACTATTACACTGATTATAGATAGTTACCGTTGTTAATACAGCTCCTGTAGTTGCTGTGGTTATTGTAGTTCTTGTAGTTGCTGTAGTTGTTGTAGTTGTGTAGTTATTGTAGTTCTTGTAGTTACTGTAGTTGTGTAGTTATTGTAGTTCTTGTAGTTACTGTAGTTGGGTAGTTATTGTAGTTGTGTAGTTCCTGTAGTTGTTGTAGTTGTGTAGTTTCTGTAGTTGTTGTAGTTACCGTACTTCCTGTAGTTGTGTAGTTGCTGTAGTTGCTGTAGTTGTTGTAGTTGTGTAGTTGCTGTAGTTGTTGTAGTTGTGTAGTTCCTTTAGTTGTTGTAGTTGCTGTAGTTGCTGTAGTTGTGTAGTTATTGTAGTTCTTGTAGTTCTTGTAGTTGTGTAGTTATTGTAGTTCTTATAGTTACTGTAGTTGTTGTAGTTGCTGTAGTTGTGTAGTTGCTAGAGTTGTGTAGTTCCTGTAGTTGTGTAGTTATTGTAGTTGCTGTAGTTTCTGTAGTTGTTGTAGTTGCTGTAGTTGTGTAGTTATTGTAGTTGTTGTAGTTGCTGTAGTTGCTGTAGTTGTTGTAGTTGTGTAGTTGCTGTAGTTGTTGTAGTTGTGTAGTTCCTTTAGTTGTTGTAGTTGCTGTAGTTGCTGTAGTTGTGTAGTTATTGTAGTTCTTGTAGTTCTTGTAGTTGTGTAGTTATTGTAGTTCTTATAGTTACTGTAGTTGTTGTAGTTGCTGTAGTTGTGTAGTTGCTAGAGTTGTGTAGTTCCTGTAGTTGTGTAGTTATTGTAGTTGCTGTAGTTTCTGTAGTTGTTGTAGTTGCTGTAGTTGTGTAGTTATTGTAGTTGTTGTAGTTGCTGTAGTTGCTGTAGTTGTTGTAGTTGTGTAGTTGCTGTAGTTGTTGTAGTTGTGTAGTTCCTTTAGTTGTTGTAGTTGCTGTAGTTCCTGTAGTTGTGTAGTTATTGTAGTTCTGGTAGTTGTTGTAGTTGTGTAGTTATTGTAGTTCTTGTAGTTACTGTAGTTGTTGTAGTTGCTGTAGTTGTGTAGTTGCTGTAGTTGTGTAGTTCCTGTAGTTGTGTAGTTATTGTAGTTGCTGTAGTTTCTGTAGTTGTTGTAGTTGCTGTAGTTGTGTAGTTATTGTAGTTGTTGTAGTTGCTGTAGTTGTGTAGTTGCTGTAGTTGTGTAGTTATTGTAGTTGTTGTCGTTGCTGTCATAGCTTCTGTAGTTGTTGTAGTTGCTGTAGTTGCTGTAGTTGTTGTAGTTGCAAGTTTTGAGGACTCAAATTGTTTTCCCATAATCATTTCCCTGAAAAATACTTGAAATATGCCCAAATAAATAGCGACAGTACCCCTTTGTGCTCCTATAGACAGTTACTTTGAGGGAATCAAGGCCAAAAGTGTCCAAAAAATGCAATTTTGCTATGTCCGCAGAGAGGGTGGGTATAGAAGGTTACGGTATATTTGTGCTTTTCGCCTTATACTGTGGAAACTAATCAATCCAATGTCTCGGGAAGGACCTAAACTAAAGTCCTCCATGATCATTTCTCACTGCAGGTCAGTTTTGTTGCTTTTAACTACAGTGAACTGGTGTCCTTTTTTTTTTTTTAAACTTCCGTTACCGATCTGAGGGCAGATCACAAATGGCCTAGAAAGAAGTATTGCGAATGATTTACATCGGATAAATATTACTTAAGTTTGCTCTTTTTGATACGCAATACATAAAATGAACAGCAAAAGCCTGTGGAAAGAAATTGCATCTCACAATAGCAGGATTTAGGGTGAACAGTTAAGGTTGTAACTTCCGTTACTAAGATTACAGTAGGAAAAAATGAAAAGTGGGTCGTGCTGATTTTTGTGGTGACGGAGGAGCTAGTGAGGATTATTATGGAGTATGTTTGGTTTTTCCGAGTTATTAATTTCACTTCAAGATGTAACAGAAAAGGTAGAATTTTAACTTCCGTTACTGTAACTTCCGTTACCAAGAATTTGTCCGGTCTCTAAAACATGGGATAAACGTCAGGTAAATTTCGGGAAATGCTGTCACACGATTGCCCCATCAAACAACTCAACCCTTGATGACATCTGGTGAAGATTTCGTCATAAGTACACCCTCATACGTGATCCATTGGTGAGATACCTCTCTGTCAAGTGTGATAAGGGAATTTTAGCTGATTTTATGGTTCGCGGAGTTTTTTTGCATAGTTTGAAAAAGTTTATTTTTCTTTGAAGTATTTCTAGGCAATTTAGGAATATAAGATGAAAATGGGACAGGTATCTTGATCATTTTAATTTTTTTTTTAAAGTAACGGAGGTTACACGAAACAGGAAGTGGATTATCTCAAGCTGTTTCGCTAGTTAAACCCTCTTTTCTGTGAATGGACTTTACAATATTCATGTATTAAAATTCTTGTACGAATTCTAACAGATTACCATGTATCTATTTTTTTTTCTTTCAATTCAATTTATTTTGCTCATTTTGTTGCTTTTAACCTCATTCCACCCAAAATTCCAAAATTTCATCCAAAATTGTTTAGCATTAATTCAATTCAATAGAATAACTCATATGTATTGTTATTTAAGATGGTCTGTAATCCCAAAAGTAAGTATTTGGAAGAAAAATGAAATATGAACTTCCTTCTGTAACTTCCGTTACCGAAATTTATTTGATAATCACTCGTTTTCTACTAGATCACATGTTTCCAAACTATAATAAAGGTGAACAACACTTTCTTTCCTTCACATTTAGCAAAATAATGTTTAGTCTGACGGCTTTTTTAAAGAAAAAACATTAAAAAAAACACAGCAATTTTAAATTCTCAATATTTTGTTACGTTAGACCAAAGTACACCATCGCAGAACAACTAGACTTTTTCATTCTTTGAGCCACTGACTTGACTAAAATGTAAAACTCAGACCTTAGCCTGCCACGGACCTCATTTTAAACATTTTAAAGTACGCTAAAATTAAAAAGACATAGATATAATGCAACACTGTGCTGTTTCAAGCCATACAAAATATCACACTACATGCTATTAAATAACAGGCTATAACTTTTTATAGATAAAAGATATGTTGACCAAATTTTGGTTTCTCACCCTTCAGTAATATATCTTTCGGTTAAACTAACTACTTGTCTGATTTGTTGACCTAGGATTTTTCGAAAATCCTTGGCACATTTTACCCACTTAGCGTGGAATGAGTGTGTAACTTCTGTGGTTGTTGTAGTTGCTGTAGTTGCTATAGTTGCTGTAGTTGCTGTAGTTGTTGTAGTTCCTGTAGCTGTGTAGTTATTGTAGTTCTTGTAGTTACTGTAGTTGTTGTAGTTGTGTAGTTCCTGTAGTTATTGTAGCTCCTGTAGTTCCTGTAGTTGTGTAATTATTGTAGTTCTTGTAGTTGTTGTAGTTGTGTAGTTATTGTAGTTATTGTAGTTACTGTAGTTGCTGTAGTTGTTGTAGTTCCTGTAGTTGTGTAGTTATTGTAGTTCTTGTAGTTGCTGTAGTTGTTGTAGTTGTGTAGTTCCTGTAGTTGTGTAGTTATTGTAGTTCTTGTAGTTACTGTAGTTGTTGTAGTTGCTGTAGTTGTATAGTTCCTGTAGTTGTGTAGTTATTGTAGTTCTTGTAGTTCTTGTAGTTGTGTAGTTATTGTAGTTCTTGTAGTTACTGTAGTTGCTGTAGTTGCTGTAGTTGAGTAGTTCCTGTAGTTATGTAGTTGCTGTAGTTGTGTAGTTGCTGTAGTTAAGTAGTTGCTGTAGTTGTGTAGTTGCTGTAGTTGTGTAGTTGCTGTAGTTGAGTAGTTCCTGTAGTTATGTAGTTGCTGTAGTTGTGTAGTTGCTATAGTTGAGTAGTTGCTGTAGTTGTGTAGTTGCTGTAGTTGAGTAGTTGTTGTAGTTATGTAGTTGCTGTAGTTGTTGTAGTTGCTGTAGTTGTTGTAGTTGCTGTAGTTGTGTAGTTGCTGTAGTTATGTAGTTGCTGTAGTTGCTGTAGTTATTGTAGTTGCTGTAGTTGTGTAGTTGCTGTAGTTGTGTAGTTGCTGTAGTTGAGTAGTTGCTGTAGTTGTGTAGTTGCTGTAGTTGTGTAGTTGCTGTAGTTGAGTAGTTGCTGTAGTTGTGTAGTTATTGTAGTTCTTGTGGTTATTGTAGTTGTTGTAGTTGCTGTAGTTGTGTAGTTGCTGTAGGTGTGTTGCTGCTGTAGTTTTTCTAGTTCCTGTAGTTGTTGTACTTACGTGGCCTTTGTAGTTGCGTAGTTGTTGTAGCTGATGTAGTTACTGTAGTTACTTTAGTTTTTTTAGTGATTGTGGTTGCTTTGATTTCCTTTACGTTTATTTCTATTATTTCCCCCTCCAATTAACCCGAATTAAGTAACGCCCTTCTGGACTCCAAATAATCTTGTTTTTCCAACTCAACAGGTTGCTTTCACGTTTATGGACGATATGTTGGGCGTATTTATATTCTTTGTTTTTTTAATCTATTAACTCGGTTGAAAGGAACTTATTTTTTAAGTGTAGCATTTTTTATATTGGCCCGGTGTCCCAGTGTATAAATTTGATTAAGAGACACAGATGGGTTTTAAAAAAGCACAGCGCTGCATTATTGGGTTCGGTACAACTACAGCAACTACAGGAACTACAGCAACTACAACAACTACACAACTACAGCAACTACATAACTACAGCAACTACAACAACTACAATAACTACACAACTACAGCAACTACAACAACTACAGGAACTACGGTAACTACAACAACTACAGAAACTACACAACTACAACAACTACAGCAACTACACAACTACAGGAACTACACAACTACAATAACTACCCAACTACAGTAACTACAAGAACTACAATAACTACACAACTACAGTAACTACAAGAACTACAATAACTACACAACTACAGGAACTACACAACTACAACAACTACAGCAACTACAAGAACTACAATAACTACAGCAACTACAGGAATTGTATTGACAACGGTAACTAACTATAATCAGTGTAATAGTATCGTATCTGTCACAACTTAGACATGTGGGGCCTTGTATGTCTCAGGACATTATATGTAAGGCTTACATGAAGTACCGACCGTGCAGGCCGTTGATGTTTTGTCCGAGGGAGACTGGTCACTACTGCTTGAGGCTGCTTTCATTCACTGGCTTTGTTACTGGTGTAACTGGCGTCTGTCTTGATTGAGAGCGCTGAACTCTTATTACTTAAGGTAAGAAAAGGTTTTTAGTACATTGTATACACATATTAAAATGATTTAAAGCGCTGGGATTGATCGAGTCGAAAGAAGAAACTTTTAAGAGCAGAGTTTTATCAGAGCAGGAGTCATACTACAAGAGGTCGAGTCGAAGTTCAATTTTTCTAAACTTTGGTCTAGTTTGTTACTTGTCTTTTTGGTTTAATCGCTATCTAAAAATAACGTACTATACTGAAGGAGGTACAACAACAGCAAGATTTGACTGTTTTTTTCACTGCATATTGCGAGAGCGGTTAATAATAAGAAGAAGTAACCTAATTAGTTTGTAAAGGTACTTCAAGCTCGAAATATGAACATATTGTTGCGTAACCTTGGAAAATGTGTTAGGGTTTATCGCGATCCAAGTGTCTCTTTTCATTGCGTTTTAGACCGCGATATCAACCGATACTGTCTTGTCAAAATAACGGTGTTTGATTGATTGAATAGTTCCTGCGCTAATTTACTGGCTTGCACGTATAAAATGTTCATTTTCCCACAGGTGTCCCAAACTCACGTTACGAGTGTGTTATGTAAATGAGAGGGGGTGTCGATTTACAAGCAACCGTTAAGACTTTGTATGAGGAAGAAAATACTGAGGTCTGAGGTCTGCAAACGGCATATATTATCATTCTTACTTATTTTTCTATAAAATAAATAGGGGAGACTTACCGTGGATGTATTCCTGTGTTTTTTGGTGTGAATTCGTCAATTTAGTCGTTTTTCTTTGGCTGTTATTGTTTGACCCCTGTCACTCTCTTCATAATAGGAAGTAATGGCAGCACAGAAAAACAACTGGCGGTCTGGACTTTGTCTACTCGAAGGCGGTTTGCAGCCCGGAAACCCATCAAATCACAGATTTTTTAAACCAGAGGCAAACTTCCATCATCACTGCACATCACGAAATGTTTAAAAGCGTAATATCCCCATGCGTGTTGCTGGAAATGAACATTTCCTTGAGCCATGTCCAAGATACCTTCTTTCTCCAGACTCTGTGATATGGCAACTGGACATGGGGCTTTGGCTTCGAGGTCAAATGTCCCTCAACTGAGGATAGCTCAGTCAAATTAATTGAGATTTCACTTTTCTTTAACATTTGATTGAAATTTAGCAATTAAATTGAAATTTAACTTTAGCTCATTTTCATGTGAGAATGATCATTCTTTGGGTTTATAATTTTAACAGGTAAAACTGTTATTGATATCCAAACTACAACAACAACAGGAAACATTTGTTGCGGGTTTTCTTTGTTGACTGAGCTACCCTCGGTCAAGGAAAATTTGACCTCGGAGCCAACGCCCTGTGTCCAGTTGCCGTATCACAGAGTCCAGAGAAAGAAGGTATTTTGGACATGGCAATTGGCTTAAGGAAATGTTCATTTCCAGCAACATGCGTGGGGATATTGCGCTTTTAAACGTTTACTGCAGTGCAGCGATGATGGAAGTTTGCTCTGGTCAAAAAAATCTGCGATTCGATGGTTTTTCTGGCTGAACCCGTTTTCGAGTACACAAGGTCCCGACCCCCGGCTGTTTTTCTGTGCTGCCTTTACTTCCTATAATTTATGAAGAGAGTGACAGGGGTCAAAAAATAACATCCAAAAAAAAACAACTTAATCGTCGAATTCACACCAAAAAACACAGGAATACATCCAAGGTAAGTCTCCTTCACTCATTTTATAGAAAAATAAGTAAGAATAATGATATTTAGCATTCGTAGAGCTCAGTATGGGAGAAAACATATTATCTCTTGCTTCCTGGTTCCGCCCAATACAGGAATATATATTATTTTCTCCCAACAAGCTGTCAATATAAAGCTGTAATGCCGTCTCAAAATTGAATTAACCGAGTTATTCATGCAGTTACATATGTCTTACTCCTTGTGTGTTTCTTGAGCTGATTTTTAGCCATTTAATGGTTGTTTTTTGAACTGGTTTTATCTCCCTCGTAAGGGGAATTTCTCATGTTCCATGTCAAACCTAAAGGACAATTATTTTATTTTTGTGACAATAACATTATTATTATGGTCATATATATATAAAATGAAAAGGGTGTCTCTAACTTGATTCATGACTTAATCAAACTTGACTCAGGCTCGAACTTGAGAACACGATACTCTTTTCAGTAGATTTGGGTAAAACTATAATAATACGTCAAGGTGTATAAAGTTAAATCCCCTTCAAATTGACTAGGATCTTTAAATTTAAAAGTACCCAACCCTCCCAGTTTCATCCGATCCAAAATGGACTGATAGCGGCAGCCAGTGGCACCTTTAATAAGCTGACGTCCAAGCCTACTTCGCACATGTAAAGTGGACACTTCTGTTGTTTCTTTTAACATGATAGTCATTGTCATTATCATCAGTCTTCAACACACTATTAAGGCCCTTAGTTTCTTTTTATGTAAAACCTTATAACAATACCTGTATGGGTCTGTTTTAGTTGGTGTTGCAATTAGGGGTGGGGGGGGGGAGGGTTGGGGTATTATGGTTTGATGTACTGCATTGTAACTAGCCTGCGTGGCAAGCTTTTGACTGGGAAAGGAAAAGGAAGAATTAAGACACAGGAGTACATAAAGGATGAGGGAGGAGGGAAGAAAACCCCTGCAAAAACTTTATTATGATATATGAATTTCATATATTCATAACTTCATCATCATCTTTTCATGGGTTTATAATGAACCAATTCAATGACCTGCTCCCAGTTGGCTTGTTAGCTTAATTGGTAGAGCGCTGCACCTGTATCGCAGAGCTCAAGAGTATGAATCCGGTACAAGCCTGAATTTTTTTTTCAGCCTTTCTTTTTGCAACTGCAAAAGTTGCGTATATAACTGCGATGATCTTCCTTTATATAATTCTTTACTCCACAGTTCACATAGATGATTTTCATATATTCATAACTTCAAAAACTCTATTGTTATCACCATCCCACCCCTCGTTGAATCCACAAATTTAATAACTATCTGTGTAAATTATGCCTAGTGGTCACATATCATCCAATCAAAACCTTCAGTTTCTTTGTGGAAATATTACAGCATACAAACCACATCTCGTATTTCATGTACCTTCTTGACAGAAATGAGAAAAGCAAAACCACTTTCGTTGGCTTAAAAACATAACAATATTACCATTATCGTCAACCTACAGTAAGAGCCCAAATGGAACAAACAAGGGATTCAAATAAAAGAAAACTTACAGAAAAATGATTACTTATACAATGTCTGAGGCTTTCCGATTTTTCT